ACCAACACTTCATAAGCTAGGGTAAATATGCTGATTTAATTTTTAAAAAATATTTCGGTGCAAACCTAAGTATGGAAATAAGTATGGAAATAAAAAATAAAATCACACATAAAACTATCACAGAAAATCACTGTTCATATTTCGGTGTATTCCTCTCCTTTATATTACTCACCTGTCACTTATTTTGCTGAGTTCCCATAAGATTCACATAATTTTGTATGTTGTGTTTTTCAATAATCATATCCCCTTATATGTCATTAAAATTTATCCCATTATTATTTGGATTATATGCAAGCCAATATATGTAATCACAATTTACTTTTTCATTCACATAGAGTGAGATATTTGTTTCACTGTTTTTACTCTTAAAAGGTATTAAGAAGCTATTTGCATCTAAAATCTTTGCTTGTAGAGTTCTTTTGGATAGGAGATAGAAGATAGATATATTTTGGAAACATAGAGCTTAATTCCTCCAATGTTTCCTTTCAGAAATGAGGAAACTATGGAACAAAGAACTTAAATTACTTGCTCCAAGTCAACCAGGTACTTAGCAGCAGAAGCAGGACTAGAACATCATGTTTTCTGACCTGAACAGAAATGAGGACCTTGTTCTCAGGAGACAAAATGAGAGAATCTTGAGTTAATTCAAAATTGAGCATACTACAAGTACACATATCCACCTCCCATTCCATCCCTGCGCCCACTCTCCCACCAAAATAGACATATTTAAACGGTACGATGAAACTACTACCTCAATGATCCGGCTGTCAATCCTGTTATAGGGATGCCAGAGGCCTCGGTCATCACGCCACTGCCATATTGCACCATCTGTGTTCTGCGCATTTCCCTTCTTCAACATGGTATCAACTGCAAAAATGCCTTCTTTTGGTAGACATGGCATAAGTTCACTGAAAACAAGAAGTACAATTATTTTAATAAATAGCTTTGTGAACTGTTAGTAATGTTAGGTTTCTAAAGAAAAATGCCCTCACATGAACCACAAGTTATTATAAGCCCAATCTTTACCAAATCAGAGATGTCAGTTCATACAGTTCTTGAGGACTTCGTGGAACAAGATCAATCTGTTCCTGACAGCTTCCATTGGAGGCACCACAAAGGAGGAAGTGAAGTGTTTCTGCAATGTCTGTAAACCCAATAACAAAAAACAAAAGCCTATTAAACTAGTTATAGAGTACCTAATTTAAGAGGCAAACATTCCCTGGAGGAAAAATAATCAGAATTAACTTTTTATAAAGCAACACAATACAGAAATTAAAGTAAAAAACCCAAATGAGCTATAATAAAAATCTAAAAAGAAATTTATGTAGAATTGAACAATATCTTTCTGGGGACTTCATTCACCTAATCATAATTCCTTCTCATCTCCAGAAACTTTAGGAATCTTATTATTTTCCTTAAGTATTTAATTTATACAAAAGTGCTTTCAATATACCTCAATTCAAATTTGTCTTCGATTCAAATATACTGAAAATGTGTAGAAAACATGATGAAATGTAGCAATTTATAAGCATCTGGATCTGATCATACTTTGATCAGGAAAACCATTACCTATATGACACTGACAGCATGCCAACCTGATACAAAGATCATTAAAGCATTCTCTACTGTAAGTTTCCATGCCAAGACATCAGTTTCTGGAGAATTCTGCATAATAATTACTGGAATGTAAAGGAATTGTGAGTGGAAGGAGCTCCTGGTCTCTCTAGTTTAGTCACTCTAATAGCCGAAACCAAAACACAGAGCTGGGTCTTTGTTGGTTGTGGTATTATGCATCTGTTCCTATAAATATTATACATCTGTAAAATGTATCGTACATAAATATGTTTTGCCAATAATCAATAAGTTACGCTACCAGGGATACTATTCACCACTGATTTGCACAGAGAGATGTAGATCGTTAAATCCCTGCCTCATAGAAATTTCACAAATAGTGATTAAAATTTTTTAAAAATTAGTTTTGCCAACTTTATCAAGAAATGTGAATACATGGAATAGCACATTATAAGGATAATTTTTTAAAAAGAAATCAGAGGCTGACAATGAAATGGAGACTAGGAAGAGCTCCATGTTTCCTTTGAGATATTACTGTAGAAAAACTACAGTGGCCTCCTTAAGATAAATATGTAGCAAACTTCCTGGAGGATACAAAAGAGGTGAAAACATTAATCACATTAAAAGAAAATAAACTCATAATGCTGAAACAAACAAAAGTACAGCAGCAATTCCCCAAAATTAGTGTTTAGGGATGTACTATATGTAACAAGATGTATAGTAACAAGAGATCATCTGTACTCACACTTCAGGAAATGTTAAGCTAAGCAAAGGTCAAAGAGCTCCTAGGGATTTTAATTAAGTATATTATTACTAATCAAGGACTTGAACCTTTCCCAATCTTATCTATTTAGCAGAGAGCACTTTCTTCATGACATACTCAAAACTCTTCTCTGAATACCAAATTTGGGAGAGACTCAATGCTTTTAGAGGACTCTTTCCAACTGATCACCTCAACAATTCTGGTTTCCTACAAAGTTCTGTACCAATGCATTAATTCACAAGAAATGAAACTAAACATACAACTGAGTTTCTCAAACATAAAAATATTATACTGCTAAATATACTTTCTGAGACAGTGGACCAAATGCTCCTTTATCAGTGAATATCATCACTGACTCCCCCAAGGTAACATCCTCAGACGTTAGAATTATGGGTATGAAATGACCCATAATTATAGATGTTCCATGCAAAAGTGATCTACTAGAAATAATCATAATGGATGTTTTTTGGAGCCCCACCATTATCTGACATTAACTTGTGAAGCCTAACTGTTGCCCTGGTTAGAGTGAGTGCCGCGGCGTCA